CCCTTCCAGCCCTAATGTCTATGAAATCTATGAAACACTTGAGCATGTAGAATATTTTAGCTCCATTGTCTACTTTTGTAATATAATTGTACTCCATTTAACTGCCTCATAATTGGTGCCAGAAATGATGGACAAGAAGTTAAGAACTTTGAAGATGAATGGAATTAGTTTCAGTGGTAGCATTAAGTGTGTTGGGTACTTAATAAGCATTGTTTACATTTAGTTAGGATAAGTGCATAGTCTTTTTTCAGGCCTGAAGCTGTGCCCTTATACCAAATCGGATCTGCAAGGAGGCCCCATATGGAGGGGGTAAAGACTTGCAACGGCTACTGGCTAAAGGTTGTCAACCCCTGAGTTTACTATATGTTTTTGAATAGTTGATCTGAAATGAACTTTGTTTTGATATTTGTTGTACTTCTGCGTCTTAGCAGGATTAACACTACTTAAGTAACTCTTTGCTCTTATTTCAATTCCATATTTATACAGGGAAAATTTCGCTGAGTACAACTGACTAAGGAAAATCCTCTGTCTCTCTCCCAAAAGTATGAGTTGAGTCTGAGGCAAAGTTTGTAGACAAATAGAAGAACAATAAAAAGCGAGGGATGGAACTTGAAGAACTAATGTTGCATGGGTTTCTGTAGGGGGAAAGAAAGCTCAGCCCTGAGACTTGAGCTTGATGCAGAAATTTCAGATAAATTCTTTGGCTTATTGTGCTGGATCACAGTGGTCCTTTCTAATCCACAATCCAATACGTGTAGAAACAGTTCAGCTTCCCCTTCATCCTTGGACTCAGGTTAAAGTATGGACAAATGTACATTTTAGCCATTTTAAAGGGGGCCCCTGCCACGCATTATACTTAAGACATGATTAATCAATTAATTATGTCTTAAGTTGTAACCCAGCTACACATTTAAAGCAATTAATGGCATAATAAAACAAGGAATAAGTCACAAAGTTATTTTACAAAAGATGTGTAAGAACTTTGTGGCCGGCTCTTATCACACTATTTATTGAACATGTGGCCAGGTATGCCTTTCTGGCTGAGAATCCCATCAGCTGATGGGGCTCCCAGCCATGGGAACGTATGGTGCACCCCTGAAGCTGGGAGCCCTGTCAGCTGAGGGGGCTCCCAGCCTCAGGAGCTTCACGCTTGCAGAGGGAGCCTGGTTTCATGATCCCAGGCTCCCCCTGTACTAGCAGTAAGGCATGATGGGATATCAGATGCTCAATCCCACAATCACATCTCCTCCCATGCACATGTAGCGTGAGAGAAAGTGTGATTGTGTGGATCGTGCATCAGTTTCCATTGCACTTTTACCTGTACAGCTCGCAGGGGCTGTAGTGACATAATGTAATGAAATCGCCCTTAGTTTGACCTGGAAGCAGGGTTGAAGTTGAAGTAAATTTGCTGCACTTCTGTGTAGGGTGGCTATCACAGCAGACATTCCAGTTCTCTGCTATTCTGTCCTCTATTCATACGACACCTGACGCCTTTATGTCCTCTATTTTTTCCCTTGGAGAGAGAAATAGAGGACATAAAGGTATTCAGTTTCATATCAATAGAGGACAGAGGACAGTCGGACTCCTCTATGATGGCCACCCTACTTGTATGACTAAAATGGGACAGATGTAACGGTTGCATCTCTCTGTATCCTTTGTTGATCTCCTCTGCCCTAATTTGTTATGAGCAAATATATAATGGCGCCCCCAAGCACGATCTCTGAATTTGGAATATCTGGTGGTGGGGTTTTTTTGTCTTCTCACAGGTGCTGCCTTTACAGAAGGTTTGTCTAGTGGCTTAAGTACTTCTGTGGCTGTGTTTTGCCATGAATTACCACATGAGTTAGGTAAGACAGCATAATATTTGAATAGGGTAAACCTATTAAATAACTGGTGGGGGTGGCTGTTTTAGGGATGGTGTGTTTATTGTTTTACGGCATGGTTAAAACTTCTACATTTCCTGATCAGGGTCAGAAATGTTTTCACTAAGTTTGCAAACATCTGGTTTAGTTGATGAACGTTGCTTTTGGCAACAAATTTATTTGTAAATTCATACTAAAAATCTTCAATTACATTTAAGTGAGTCATTAGGTCTGCAGATATTTGCAATTACTGCTGTATTTCTTATATTCTTCTATGGCTGATTTACACAACTATTCAGTATAGCGTAAATTGTGACTATATTTAATAGAAAATACAAGTTTAAATTGTTTTTTGTAATTATGTTTAACTTGATTCTTCAAATGTCCTCACTAAGAAAATGAACGTTTAATAGGTCAGGAAAAAATCATCTTAGAACCCTTTAAAATATGGCTCTAGTTTTAGGGCATGAAAAATAGTTTTCATCCAAAGTCTAATACGTGGGGATATAATTTGGAACTCCAAATGTTATGTTTTTCTGGTCAAATCCAATTAATCCATGCACTTAAGAATACATGTACCACTAGGTTATGGAGTTTGGTCCTTTCCTCAGTAACGTTAATGGGAATTTCATTGGGGTATTCATTTCCGAAATGGAGGTATCTTGTTAACAGAAGCAGCCAGTTAGTTCTGCTAAGGGAAGAAAATACATGACATTGTTTAGAGTACATATTTGCGTGGTCTTAAAATGGGATTTGATAGGAATCTCAATGCAGTCTCTTAGCTGGGAATGTTGATGCTATAGGAACTTGAGGGTGGTGGTATAAAATGGAGAGGGGGTAGAAGTGGGGTTTAGGAGGGAGTGGAATCCCATAAAAAGTGGTCTGTTTATCAGACTTACCATGTTTTGTAAACCTTGATGTGTAATCGGTAAATGGCATGCAACATGGCAACTTTGCTAATCACAAATTCAAAATGTCATAAGAGTATTTAACCACTCCCAGCTCTTTTGAATTAAGGCAATTACTGAAGCTGGTCAGATGTTTTTCAACTCAATAAGCTTTCAAGAGAAAATGCCAATTAATTAAAATTGAAACATTTTGTGATAGGTCCAGGAATTTATCAAAACAGAGCCTAAGAACTCTGAAAATGTTGAAGTTGAGGGGATGTCAAAACACTGGACTTCTTGTTTTGAAATTCAGAACTAACTAATGTAAATTAAATGGTCAGGGAAACCACTTTGAAATTATCCCAGTATTTTGATTGACCCCAAACTGAGCATTTTGGATTTCTGTTGTGAGAAAAGTGGTCCACAACATTCCAGTTATTAATAATGCTACTAAAATTAAGAAATTGAGAGTCACTTATGTAGATAAGAGAAAAGTCCTTTACCCCAAAGTTCAGTCATTACTTCAGAAATTTGGAGCAGTCAGTGGGTAATTAGAATTCTGAAAGCACACTGTGACTCTTTTTTTTTTTTCAAAATCAGATTTATATGGTTCTCAATGATGTTCAATATTGCAATAGGTTTTGACTTAAAATAATTGTATTAACGCTAATATTGCACCAATAAACCAAAATTGTAACTAAAACAAAATTCTAAGAAGCTATAAGTAAAATTTTATTAAACTAAAATCCTGTACACTATAGACTGCAACTTCGAAGCTATTTTTATGTTTGTTCTTTGGCTCATCTGCCCTTAAATGAGAAATCTTTTTAATTTTGAGGAGGAAGGCTTTTAGAAAAAGGAAGTAGGTGGCTTAAAAAGAGCTCAATATTCTGAGGGGTAAAAAGAAGTTTTATTGAAAGTGTTTAAGTAGATACATGAGGATGAAAGAGATAATCTTTTCTCTTTCTTTTTTTGTCCTGTAGGAGACTTTGCTGTACTTCTGAAAGCTGGCATGACTGTCAGACAAGCTGTTCTATATAATGCTCTGTCAGCTATGCTTGCATACCTTGGAATGGCAACTGGGATTCTTATCGGTCACTATGCTGACAACGTTTCAATGTGGATATTCGCACTTACTGCTGGTTTGTTCATGTATGTGGCTCTTGTTGATATGGTAAGTATTAATTAAAACTACTTGAATTCTACGCAGCTAATTCAGGTGTCAAACTAATACGAAAACAGTACCAATACCCCCAAATTCATCCTCTGCAAAAATATTCATGATCTGTATTACTTATCTCTTAACTTAAATATTGATATCCTTAATTTTGTTGTTGGAAAACTTTGAAAAATTAACAGAATTATTTCATTTCTATGAAATACGCAAATAGGAAAATATGTATTATGAACATAGTGCACAATAGATAATCATCCCTTTGCCATAAACTTGTAGTGGTGGTTGGAATCTTTTCTGCTTTTTAAAGCAAATTTCACCTGGAAGGAACCTGATCAGCTTTTTAAAGAATGTTGAAGCATCCCAATTTAATTGGTCTGTTAGTTAAAATTGTGTAGTTGTAAATATTGGACCAAAGGGGCCTCTCAGGCTACTAAATCTAATCCCCTGTATAGCAAGCAACCATTTATCCACATTGAAACTACTCCAACCTTATGTGGATAATGTGTGTTTAGAAACTTACTGTGTAATAAGAAAAGTCTTCTATCAACCAGGTAACTAGGAGACATGTTTAATTTGGTATGATTGTTCCTAAAAATATTTCAAGCCTAGGCCTTTGTAACATCACCATTGGTTTCCTAGTTAGGAACTTTTAGGGTCAGATTATAATACTTTTTTACTGATGTCAAGTTAACCACTTTACTCAGTGGGTGGGCTAGTGAAGGCCATGGGACTACTCGGGGATTAAGGTAGTCTTCATGGTTAAGGATGGCAGAATCTGACTGAGGGAGTGAGTCATGATGCATGGCACTATTTTGAAAGTGTTTAACGTTAATTTTTACAATTATTATTTACATAGGTGCCTGAAATGCTCCACAACGATGCGAGTGATCATGGATGCAGTCGCTGGGGATATTTCCTGTTACAGAATGCTGGGATCCTGTTAGGCTTTGGGATTATGCTGCTTATCTCTGTGTTTGAACATAAAATTGTATTCAGCATAAATCTGTAACTGATTGCCTGTTAAATTTGGTGCTGATGTGTAATAGGCATCTTTTTATATTAATTACTGTAGCTGTATAGTACAGCTGTAGGACTGTAGCTACTGTACATGAAAGGTAGGCTTTTCATAGACTAGGCATTTTTCATCTGTTTCCTTTTTCCAGAAGTAAAATTAGAAGTGTTAACTACTTACATGTGAATCTTAGTTTAGTAAATAGTACAAGGCATAGATAGCTATACTCTGTGAAGCATGGCGAAAGTGCCAAATCTAAAAAGGAATATTTTTTTAGGTTTTTTTTTTACTTTAAGTTATTAAGCTTTTTGTAAACTTATATATTGCATGTAATTTATGTAAAATCTTGCCGCTGTGTCTCTCTTTTTTTACTGAAATGATTTGCTGGTATAAACAAATAAAACAGTTGTTGTGCTATACAACACAAAAGTTGTCATTTTTACAATATATAATTATTTTATTGATGAGAATTTTAAAATGGAGAGAATGAGTGTAAAAGGTGCATTGTGAGGATAGCTCAGAGATTAATTTGCTAGATAGAACGTTAGTATCTTATCTAGTTCTATGATATGGCCACAGAAATCTATAATTGTTATATGTATGAAACTGAAAACTGGTTTAGAGTTGAAGAATAGCAGGGAACACATTTTTGGAGGTTTGGTTTAATTTTTGGAGGTTTGGTTTAATTTAAAATAGTGTTGCAGGGTGTAACCTGGTTCAAGTTAAAATTTTAAACTTGCCATTACAAAGGAACTCCATATATTGGAGGGAGAGGTAGTTAGCTGTGCTACCCAGCTCACTTTACACTAAGATGCAGCTACACTAGGCTACAACTTGGTGTAAAGAGCCCACTTGCCCCACTTCCCTGCTGGCCTGGATTAGGCCCCCTGCCCTCCCCAGCACCCCAGATCCTTGCTCACTGCCCCCACTGACTTGTGGCTGCTTGTGCTCTCTGTCCTGGGAGAGGAGACAGGAAAGAGTTAACCTGCCTCCTGCTGCTGCTGCTCTCTGGGCCAAAGGAGCAGCAGCCCTGCAACAGGAGTAGCTGGACAGGCAAGTTAACCCTTTCCTGCCTGCTTCTCTGGGACAGACATTGCAGGCAGTCACAACTAAGTAATACCCAGAGGATGAGGAGGTGGCAGGGGGATGCCCTGACCGGTGGGGTGGGGGGAACAGGGGAAAGCCCTTGGGGATCAGGGGGGAAGCCTGGAATGGGAGTGGGGGAGATTCTTACCTTTCAGTTCTCTAGGTCCCTGCCCGCTGTTCCTAACTCAAGCTAGCACTGACATGAATCAACAATTGTGTAGCTCCCAGCATAAAGTGTAACAAGGCCCTGACATTACACAGAAGTCTGTAAGATGCTACCCTATCCTGCCTAACTGGTTCAGAGGCATGAGCTTTTATAGGTGGCAGCCCACTTCATCAGATAATGTAACCTGCAAAAGCTCAAGCTTGTTTGAATGAGTCCAATATAGGCAGAAGGTAGGGCAGGGTAGCACTCTATAGACTTTTTTACTTTAGAGCAGTGGTTCTCCACCTTAGACTCCAGGTGTCCCTCTAACTTTTGTGAATTGAGTGACACTTTGTTTCTAAAACTTTTATTTTGGAGCCTACCTTCCTGTTAGGGATGTGAATGGTTAAATGATTAATCATTTAACCAGTCAGCCAGTGATAACTGGTTCTAGCTAACTGGTTGTTTTAACCTGAGGCTGGGTACAGTCTGGGAGGGAAGGGGGAAGATGGAACCAGAAAGCTGCAGGGCAGGAGGAAGGGAGAGAAGAGCCAGGAGGGGAGGTATGATTAATACCTAGGCTCCGTGACCCTGGTGCAGCCACTTGCAGCCTTCCTGCTGCCTGCCATGAGCAGACCAGGCTCCAGGCAGGCTGCCAGAGCACAGGCTGCAAATGGGTCTACAGAACCTAGCTATTAGGTATTAGTGACACCTCCCCCTCCCACCTGTTCTGCTGCAGCTGGCCCCAAGGATGCTATGTGCTGGTGGCTGCAGTAGGCTGGTAAAGCCCTTCTCTGACTACTGCTGCCTGTGGCTTCCTAAGATATGCTGCTGGCCTGGGGGAGCTTGGCAATACTCTGGCCCCCAGCTCCCTGTGCCACTCTAGGCAGGTGGATGCAACCCCTCCTCCAAGGGAGAGTGGGACAGGTAGCCAGCCTGCAGCTCAGCACCCCTTAGTCTGACTTTGCAGAGCTGTGGGCTGGAGCCCAGTGTCACTATGCCAGTCCCCCATGCAGTGCCTTCTGCTGCTACAGCTGCTGCAGGTATGACAGGGGCAAGATTGAGGTAAGCAGGTACAGGGCGACACCCCTGGGCCTCTGGTCCAGCCCCATGGTGTGCCCCGCCTGCCCCATCCATGGCCAAACTTGGGCTCAGAGAGGACCCACCAGCCTAGCTTGTTGTGGGGGCATTGCTGATTTCATCATACCTGGTGGGGGCTGGAAGCACCCCACTGGTGCTGGGTTTGGCAGCGGTGCCCTACAGACCAGGCTGAAGGTTACCCTACTGAGTAAGCCTGCTGTAATTGCAACAGGTTAAATGGATGTTTTTAATATCAGTATTTACATCCCTACTTCCTGTACAGGGCCCAGGCAGTAGGAGGGGTGAGCCTCTATCTCCTCATACTGTTACCTATACTACAGGTAACCTTGTGGGTAGGTGACTGATAAGAGACAGAAACAGGCCTACAGCCCAACCTTTTATTTGCTTTCACTTTAAAACATGAAAACAAACATTTATATCAAAGTCTATCTGGCTACCCACAACAGCACAAAGTTGATTCTCATCTATACCAGGTGGGGAGATTTGAGAGGAGGGAGGCACACAGATTGGCAGCAGGTCTTGAATTTGCAGTTCTCCAAATTTCCCCCCAGCCCATGCCTTATAAATGGCTGGTTTTAATATTCTAATAAATGATCCTGATTGGTTTTATTTAAATGTCTTTTTTCACTGAAACTTTTGGAACCGAACTGAACTGGACTTTTGTGGGCTTGGAAGGTGGCAATTATCTGGGATTTATATCCTTAGGAAAGAGGGAGAGTTTCTTATCACCTTTCCTTCTCCATTGTAGAATGCTGTTTCTTCTTTATCTTCCTTTATGGTCTTCTCTGAGAGGCTGTTTTTGTTTTTACAGATTATCTAAACATCTTAACAGAAATAGATCTACTATAGCAAAATAACATCTCATACACTTGGTTACATCAATCACTGCTGCTACTACTTTAAGATAAAGCTATGATATAGCATATATGGATTATTTAATATACTGTCTTCTCTTACCTCCTTTAGGCTTTGTGATTTGTTTAACTGTGCTCGATGATTTCCTTTACTTCCTGACCAAGTTAGTCATCACATCTGCAAAGGCACACTGCAGTTACTCAAAAGCAGGTTTGGGGCCTTCTGCTTAGCAGCACTTCTGCAGCTTAGCCTAGGCCGCTTGAAAATGGTCAAGGCTAACAACAATACCCAGGACCGGGCTGTGTGTGTCAGAGAAGGGGCAGTGGTCAGCCAGGCTGTGTGCGTTTAGCTCTTCACATCCACATCATCCATAAGGATCATTGCTCTAGACTGCTGTTAACACTATTGCAACTTCCTGACTTTTTCAACAAAGTGGCAGTGAGCTACTTGGAGAACTGGAAATAAAATGGCAGTCTTGTAACTAAATTAAGAAGAACAGTCACTGATGCACCAAATCACTTGAGTTAACTGAGGAAGGAGGTTAAAAATAGGAGAAACTTAAGTCTGAGAACCAGGGGAAGTTTTTTGAAACTGAAAATTGTTAGGTTACAATTTTTTTTTAAATCAGGTAGAAAAAGCACTAGGAAATAGACATCTTTCATTTGCAAGGGAGATAGAATAGTCATTAGTACAGATGAGCTTTTCTCTCATTTTGTATCTAAATAAATTTATCAGTCAGTATTTCTTTAATCAGAACATGATTGAACAAAACTTACTCCTGTTTCAAATCCCCAGCCAGGGCAGAATTTTGAGCAAATGGATTCACATGGATTCTGAGCAAATATCAACTTTGGCTGGAAGGGTATTTTGGATCAGCATGGTAGATCAGTTTGTAAGAACTGCCATATCAGATTAGATCAGTGAAGCTCTGCTCTGGATCTTAGTCTTCAAAAACTTGTGGATGCATTTTTAGCTGCTCCATTGAAAATCAGAGCAGAGTGCAAATGCATGGCAGAAGCTCAGTTATTCAGATTCTGTGGGAGTTGTATGTGTCTGCTAAAAACTCCAAGATTTAAATTGCAACTGTTGCAACCTGTAATTTTAAATTATTAAGAATGTGTGACTTTTAAATACAGCAAAAATGATGGTCCATACTCACCCAAGGATCATTCTAAATATTGGCACCTTCAGCCATTTGATTTCTATTATTTCATTTACCTTGAGATCTAAAGGAGAGCTCGTTCCCAGTTGAAAAGCAAGGCTAATATGATATTAAAACATACCACTCTTCAATTTACTCATCTAATCCAATGCATCAATAATTTTCAAGTAAGTTTATTACTGTACACAAATCAAGGTTTTCATATGTACCCATCACGGGTTTTCCTTTTAGCTCTTAATAAGGACAGATGTTTCTTCTTGCTGTTCTGATTCTTTAAAGTTCTGTATTCTTGAAAGCTATACCAATGACTTTTCACTACTAATATAGAATACTAAAATACACTATACCCTGATAGCTTAGTATGTTAAAATAGAGGTTCTCAACCAAGGCCCTTGGCCATTATGTGTGGTATGCTTAAAACACCACCAGATGGCAGCTTCACTGGCTCCCTGTGCAGCTGTCTCCCAAATTAAAAGGTAACACTACAGGGAGCTGAGACTCCACACCCTATTAAGTCAGATAATGAAATGAAAGGGAAGGTAGAATTTAAATCTATCACCCTCAAGAGAAGAATAGCAAAGCTAGTAGGCAGAGGGGGGCGGAAGAAAACCAATGAGAGCCGATGCTGCTGTACCTTTATGAATATACAAGAAAGTGTGGGAAAACTGGAGAAGGTGCAGAGATTGTGGTGTGGTACAACCAGCCAGCTGCTTTGATGCTCCAGCAGTTTGCACTGTATTGCTCTGCGGGCAGTCTACCTCTGGAACTGCAAGGACTCTCACTGTTTCAAGAGAACTCTGTCTGCTAGACACCATTTAGCACCATATGAAAAATGCAAAATGACACAACAGTCATTATCATGTTCTAAGAATGATTGCCTCTAAGCCTCCCCTTGCCCAAAGGAAATGACCAATAGCTGTAAATAAATATTTTTGATTTAAAAGGAGACATCACTGTACCAGATCTGCATCATAACCTTTGCATTTCACATTCAGTCTTTGGCGGTAATGGGTAGGAGCTTACTACCACGCCCAGGCAATTTTTTTTTATGCTGTAGGCTGCCTTTTCCTTCTCAGTCAGCCAATCAGCTAGCATTAGAAACATGTACAGAGAGAGTGTGATGAATATATAATAGCTACACCCAGGATCTCTCTGAGGGTTTTTATTCAAAGAAGTACAGGAGAAACCAAAGCAAGTTCCTCCAAACTATATGCTGGTTTGTTGGGACATTATCAATCAGCCAACACTACCTACAGCAGCTAAAAACAGCAGTGAACAGGTAGGCATAAGCCTCATGGTTTGAGGCAAGTTGCAGACTCCCACCCCTCTGCTTTTGTGTGGAGCTTTTATCCCTTCAGGTTCAGATTTCTGTATTCCTGGCCATTCAAACCATCCTAATCATTTTTTGGCAGATTGAAAGGAGCAGGGAAACCAAGTCATGGCCTGTCACTATTGTTTTTTCCTAGGGTTGCCTTAATAGCATTGGGTGTCAGAGATGGGGGCCGAAGGCCCTGGCCCCCCTTGGGAAGAGGGCTGTCAGCTGAAATGCCTAAAACTTTCCACACATCCATCACCTTAGCCCCCCCCAAATAAAAACTGGCGCCTACACAGTACATTGGCTGTGACACCAGGTCTGTGCCTCTCCTCCCTCTCGAAACTGTTCCCCACCATCCGCTTCACACTGCGATTCAGACTGAACTGCTCCTGGCGCCAGTGTCTGGGGAGGAAGGCAGTGAGCACGGGCTCCCAGCGATGCTCACATCCCCTGGGAAAAGCCACGGCATCACCTGGCAGCAAGCGTGAGCCTGGGCTGAGCTGCGGTTCCTGGGGGGGAGGGGGGGTCCCCGGGACCCGCCTCCCCGCACAGGCGCTGCCGGCAGCTGCTTGTGCTCCCCTAGACAGGCGCCGGAAGCCGGCGAACCCCTCAGCAGCAGTAGCAGCGGTACTTCCGCCCTTAACCCCACCAACCAATCAGCGGCTTCCGGCCCGTGTACGTCACTCCGCAGCTGCGCCGGGCGGTGCGCGCATTGCTTGGCCCTGATTGGCTCCCGCTTCCCGAGGGGGCGTGACGGTCATGGCTGCGGCGCCGGGCGTGACGGAGCG